TTAATTAAATTTTTTAATATTAATTGAACTATTTTTAAAATTAAAACTCTAATTTTATTGGGTGTTAGGATTAGTGTGCAGTATTATTTATTGAGAAAACCAAAATTCGTGAATTTTTAATTTTTTTACGAAGATGATGTGAATAACATGATAAAAGAAATTGATCGAAAGGGTCGGTGGGAGGAATTGGATAATTCTAGAAGGTGGGTCCTCAACGTTTTTTCTTTCGGATAACCAAAAGTGGGCCCCAAAGTTGAAGATCCACAGGAGTGTTGGGAATATACCAAGAAGATGACGTTATGATAACAAAAATAAAATGCATGTCTTTTCAATTCTCAAATAAAATACCCACTTTTGTACCGAGTAAAATACATGCAAGCAGATTGGTTAATGTATATGGTATAGTTATAGAAACTTTTGTTAAGGTGAATAAAAATATTGTAATTGTATTTAATTTAATTAATAGGAATAATTGATGATTATAATTATTAATTATTAAATTATTAAATTATTAATATCTATTAATTAAAATTTAAAATTAACTTACATATTAATATTTTTAAATATGGTAATCAATTATAAATTAATAATTTCAATCAAATTAAATAAATTTCAGTACATTTACGTGGCTTTAAAAAATATTTGTGTGCCATAAATACGCTGAAGCCTGAATGCATATGGTCCCTTTTCGTTTTCTTTGTCCTTTTGAGATAATAGAGCACCAGCATTTTCTTGGATGGTAGTATTGGGTTGCAAGTTCGAACCTTATCTTGGCTTCCTTCTTTGAGTCCCGTAAATTAAAGTGGCTTTAGGAGGATGCTTTGGTCAATTTCTGAGTATTTCAAGACAGAACCTTTTAGACAATTTTAAAATGCATTCTCCATATCAGCTCGGTATATTTAAAAAATTAATTTTTTGATTTTATAGTTATAGATGTTATATCAATATAAAATTGATATATAATGATCTATATTAATAAAATATCAAATCCAATATCAAAATTTAAAAATATTCGCTAAAAGATAATATTTTTAAAGTTAAAACTCTAATATTTTAATGAAAGTTGAATTAATATATGCTCCCCCCGTTTATTTTTAATAGATTTAGCTTAATTTTTTTACTTTTTAATTATGAATTTTAAATAAAAATTTAACATATTATATAAATGATAATTAAAATTTTTTTTATCAAATTAAAATACTTAACAAGAATTTTTTATAAAATTTTTAATTATTATTCATATAAATTATTAAATTTTTATTTAAACATACTGAATACTATTTTAGATATACATACACACATTACATTACGTTAGAGGAGCCTTTGTAGGCAAAAAGTACTCCTCTTTTCGTTTTTCCTTTTTCGGCCCAAGCCAAAAGTACTCCTTAGTCCTAACAAAATTTGCTAAAATTACTTAAAGTCATGACGGCTTGGAGGATTCCATGAGTGTACATATTCATTTCTAGCTATTTTCCAAAGCATGAGACACATATATCGAATTACCAAGAAAGGGATGAAATGAAGTTTTTCAAAGAGCACCCAAATGTAGATATTTCCATCTCCTGATAGTGGAAAAGTTAACAGCATATTCACTCCTCGTGTCTGTAGTTTGATCATTAATAACTATAATTTGTTGCATTGATAAGATGGTTTGGTTTGGCTTTCTTCTTTTGGCAAATTAATATATCTGTTTGAGGGGGACTGAGGGGCACAGGCCCTCCTAAACTTTTGTAAAAGTTTAGTTTGGTTCTTTATGTTTTATTTTTATCATTTTTATCCTTACTTATTTCATAACTTTTTTTTTTCTTGTTAAAGATTCCATTTAATGAAAAAGAGAGATGGAGAAAATAAAGATAATAAGAAATATGGGAAACTATTAAATTAATTGAATAAAAATATTTTATTATCATTTTTTTATAAGGTGTTTTTTCATAAATATCTTGACTTCCCATGGTATACATTCTTCTACTTAATATATATTCATTTTTACCTTTCATATAATGGTTAAATCGCTATTTTGTTTATTGTGAAAAACTAAAAAAAATTATTTTACATATTTTTTTGACTTTTTAAATTGACATACAAAGTCATTGTTTTTTTTTTTTTCGAAAATTTATTTTGCCCCCTTAAAAATATTTTCTAACTTTGCTAGTGTGAGTAATAATATACACACAAACCTATTTTTATGATTTTTCTTTACAGCTTTCATGTAATGTATGTAGTATGAAAAAGTTTTATACAAAAGTTGTTACTAAATCCTCACTTCTCTATAATATATATATATATATATATAGACACACACAAAATTAAGTTATCCTAAATATAAACAGAAAAGAAAAAAAAAAAGTGAACATATGTTTTTCTTCTAATTAGAATTAAAATTTTCAAGTTTGAAGTTTTTTTAAATTTAAGTAAATTAATGTTTTGCATGTATATTATATACACACGCAAAAGTAACAATATCTATAATTTTTGTTATTTATCATAATCATCTCACATGTAAAATTTGAGATTATCATTGAATAAACAATGTCAAAAGATAAAAGACTAGAGGTAACAGACAAGGAAAAAGAAAAACCATGAGAGAGAGTGGTAGAGAGAGAGGCAGGGATTCTAACAACAGGCATCGCTCGAGGACCAGACGGACAGCACTGGGAAGAGAGTGGATTAGTACCCAAGAGAGAAGCTGACAGGTGAAGACACAAGACGCACAGCAACAGAGTTTGAACAGAAATAGGAAGGGTTCCGATGAATGGGGATTCAACAGAGGGCTATACAAGCAAGCTACAAACTTCTTCTTTACAAATATACCGGACGACTGGAGCTATAATGATATGTGGAGCACATTTGGCAAGTATGGTCGGATATTCTCTATTTACAATCCACAAAGAAGAAGTAAGAGTGGAAGCAGGTTTGGTTTTGTTAGATTCTTGGATGTTAGGAATGCTAGGAGCTTGAGAGACAATTAGATCAGATTATGATTGAGGGGCATAAGATATGGGTACATCTAGCCAAGTATCTAGAGGAGAGAGGCAAAAAGGAAAAGGTTAAGAATGGCATCAATGAAAATAAAGTAGTTCATGGGAAATCATATGCAGATGTTGTACAAGGAGAATAAGGAGGAGATCCAAGGAAAACCAAAGATCAGATACCAGCGACCATTCTGAAGTATGATCCCCATAGGCAGTCAGAACAGAGACAGGAATGGAAAATGAAAAATAGAGAAGAAGAATGGTCGGGTTTGGAGTTCACAGTGAAAGAGGAAGATTTTGAGTGGCTAAAGGGATGTTGCGTAGGTTTAACCCGCTCAGTGGAGACTGTCCCGATTCTGCAGGAGAGGTTCTACATGGAAGGGTATTTTTCATGTAGACTTAGAGCTATGGGGGGGAAAATGGTCCTTATGGATTGTGAGGATAAAGAAGAGCTTAAAGACTTAATGCAACACACCTCTGATTGGCTTGGCCAGTGGTTCTTAGAAGTAACATCGTGGTCTCCCTCAATGGTGGCAAAAGAGAGGTTCATTTGGATAAGGTGCCAAGGTGCACCTTTACATGCTTGGGGCCCATAGTTTTATGAATCCATGGCATCAGTTTGGGGCAAGTTTGTTTGCTTGGATGATAGTACAAGCAAGAGAAGAAGGTTTGACATTGCCAGATTCCTCATCTCAACAACAATGATGGATTCAATCTCAGTAAAAAGGAAGATTAAAGTTAATAGGGCCATGTATAAGCTAAAATTCACAGAAGAAGAACTAACAAACAACCTTTTTTTCTCTAAAATATGATTTCATGCCAAGCTTCAACAACGACCTAGAGTCTGATGAATCATGGTCTGAAGACATCGATTATGATGATGGTTGTGACAATGATAGCAGAGAAGCAGATAAAGAGACAATCGTTGGTGAAGAAGATGTGGCCAGAGACAACCTAGAGCATGAAGGAAGAGGAAGTAGGTTGGTTGTAGCTCCAACACCCGAGGCAAAATTTGAATTGGATGGAACAGGTAATGATGAGACACAGCTCAACAAGGGTGATAGCCTCTCACATAGCAGGGTGGGTGATGAAGAGTCGGTAGAAATGGTAACGAATAGCTTTGACATGGAAATCGAAGAAGATGACGTTGGTGACAGAGAAAGAGTTGGAGAGTGTGAAGTAGAATTTAAAAAAGGGAGGCAAACTAGTTTAGGTCCAATAGCAAGCTCAGGAAGAATTGAATCAGGCTTACAACTTCAACCCAATCCAAAAACATTGGGCCAGCAGAACAGAGCAGAAGGACAAAGGGGAAAAGAAGCATGGGTTTCTGAAAAAGGCTTGGAGAATTTACAATTGGGAGAACACTCACGGTCTAAGGTTGAAACACAAAAGGAGGCTTCACAATGTAACGCAGAACACGAAAAAAAAAAAAAAGAAGGAATAATTTGGAGAACAGTAGCTCCTTTTGGGAGGGAATTGGGAGCGAAGATAGGAGCGTGAAGGAGTGGATGGGTGCGATGCTGAAGCAGGGCAAGTAGAAAAGAAAGAAAAGAACCAATTAGCCGAAGCATGTAGCACGATATACAAAAGATATGTTCTTCCCGGAGTCATGAACCAGAAGAAGAAAAACAAAGGCAAATTTGGGTCGAGACAAGCAGAGGGGGAGGAAATTCCGAAGTTCTATCCAAGCACGAGCAACTCAATAGTAGGGGGCTCTGTGGGGACAATGGCATTCAAAACTACAATAAAAGGCTGAACAAGGTTCGCAACAAATGAATTGCAACTGATTTGTGGAATTTTGCAAAGAGGATTGGGGTGGTGGTAGAGGAAGAGGAGCTAATCATTAAAAAGCTCGAGGAGATGGAGAAATGGGATAGAGCAACAACAGAGGTAGAAAACGCAAGAGGAGCAAGTAAAGCGCAGAAGGTCAATGATGTAGTTAAATGAATATTCTATCCTACAATATCAAAGGGTTAGGGGGAGTGGGAAAGAAAAGAACTATCAGAGAGCTTGTGAATAAAGAAAGAGTAGATTTCCTAGCAATATAGGAAACTAAGAAGTGTGGGTTAGATAGGAATTTTTGTAAATTGTTATGGGACTCAAAAGACTTTGATTGGGTAGCAAAGGATTCTGTAGGAATGTCAGGAGGTTTGATGTGTGTATAGAACTCAAAAGCCCTCAGTATGAAGCATGTCTGGGAAGGAGAGAACTTTATTGGTATCCAAGGGGTGTGGAATGTAGAGGATGTCACGGTCAATGTCGTCAATGTTTATTCTCCATGCCAACTTGTTGGAAAAAGAACCTTATGGTTGGAGTTAAAAAATTTAGTTTTGCAAACAGGAGGAATGTGCTGTGTTATGGAAGATTTTAATACAGTCTGGAAAGTTGAGGAGAAGATAGGGAGTAGAAGATTAACTACAGAGATAGGAGAGTTTGACAACTTCATTATAGAATCAGAACTAATTGATATGCCATTAGTGGGTAGAAAATTCACATGTTACCAAATAGGGGGCAAATTCATGAGTAGAATTGATAGAGTACTGTTGTCAAAGGAATGGCTATCCAAGTGGGAGGAAGCTACACAATGGGGGTTGAGCAAAACAGTCTCTAACCATTGTCCAATCTTGCTTAGACATCAAAAAATGAATTGGGAACCCAAACCATTTAGATTCTTTGATATCTGGCTTGAGCAAAAAAGATGTAGGGATTTGATAAGAGAAGCATAGGGACAGGCAAATATCCAAGGATGGGCTGGGTTTCGACTTAAGGAAAAGTTGAAGATCACTAAGGAAGCACTGAAGAAGTGGAGCAAAAACTTTGTCCCTTTAATTAACAACAGAATAAAAGAGGCTACAACACAGATTGAGCAATTAGATTTGAATGGGGAGTCAGAGCAACTATCAGATAAGGAGATTGAAAGAAGAAGACAGGCTTTGCTAGCTTTATGGAACAACATAAGATACAAGGAAAGTATGCTACAACAAAAATCTAGAAAAACATGGTTATCAAATGGGGATGCAAACACAAAGTTTTTCCATAGCTGTGTGAAGGGGGGGTGGAAGAGGAATGAAATGAATAGCATACAAATAAAAGGAGCTCAGTATACGAAAGCTAGCAGAATGAAAGAGGAGATTGCTAGCTTTTTTCAAAACATGTTTGTAGAAGAACAGTGGAAGAGGCCAACTTTAGAAGGAGTAAACTTCAAGAGAATTTTTGCAAAAGAGAACAACTCTCTCACTACACCCTTTACCGAAGAAGAGATTAAGACTGCGGTATGGGACTGTGAAAGCTCAAAGGCACCAAGGCCCAATGGATTCAATTTCAAATTCATCAAAAGTGAGTGGGAGACAATCAAAGGGGATGTCATCGGTTTTCTACAGGAATTCCAGAAAAATGGCAAGTTGGTGAAAGGTCTATATACCTCCTTCATAGTGATGGTGCCAAAAGTAGATAACTCACAGAAAATTGAAGGATACAGACCTATCTCGCTTATTGGGGCGGTGTATAAAATTCTTGCCAAAACTCTGGCTAACCAACTTAAGAATGTTTTGGCTAGGGTAGTGGATGAACAAAAAATGGCATTTATAAGTGGAAGACAACTGATGGATGGGGTCATGATAGCAAATGAGATTGTGGATGAAGCAAAAAAGAAGAAGAAGAAAGCCTTTATGCTCAAGATTGACTTCGAGAAAGCTTACGACAAGGTTAGCTGGAGCTTCTTGGATTTTATGCAGCAAAATATGGGTTTTTCTACTAAGGAGGAAATGGATCATGGAGTGTCTGAGATCTAGCATGGTGTCTGTATTACTCAATGGCAGCCCAACAAGGCAATTCACGGTTTTGAGAGGCCTTCGGCAAGGGGACCCACTGTCACCTTTCCTATTTTTAATCATCGCAGAAGGGATTAACGGGCTTGTCTCAAAAGCAATACAAAATGGGTTACTGGAAAGAGTGGAAGTAGGACTTAGAGGATTCAAGGTCTCACACCTGCAATATGCAGATGACACACTTCTGTTTGGTGAAGCCACCGAGGAAAATGTCTGGGCCATGAAGGGTATTCTGAGAACATTCGAGCTGGTGTCGGGGCTAAAGATCAATTTTAATAAAAGCCAACTCATTGGCATTGGGGTAGAGGAAGAGTGGCTTGACAAGATGGCATGGATAATGTGCTGCAAAAAAGGGAATCTGCCTTTCAAGTACTTAGGGATCCCTATTGGGGGTAGCTGCAGAAAGATTTCCTTTTGGGAGCTGCTAGTGGAGGTTTTCCACAAGAAATTAACAACATGGAAGGGTTAGTACTTATCTCTTGGCGGTCGGATCACTCTCATTAATTCAGTGCTATCCAATCTTCCCATGTTCTGGATGTTGATGTACTTGATCCCGAAAGGAAAGGATTACAAAATTTCACAATTGGAAGGGTGGCTCAACGGAACATGGACATGGCATTTGGAATGGAGAAGAGGATTGCACAGCTGGGAAGAACAAGAAGTATCAGGGCTCAATAAGATGATCAAAGATAGTATAATCACAAGAGGAAAAGATGATATATGGGAGTGGACTCATAGCAAAGACGGAGATTACTCAACAAAGTTAGCTTACCAGGCACTCACAAGGGAGCACGGAATGGAACAACAAGAGATGGCTCTCCACAAAGTCTGGAACACAATTGTACCAAACAAAATTTCAGCATTCTCGTGGCAAGTGCTATAGGATAAAATACCTACAAAGATTAATTAATCAAAAGGGGTATAACTCATGGCATAGAGGACTGCAAGTGTGACTTATGCAGTAGCCAAACAGAGGAAGCCAGCCACCTTTTCATCCACTGTAAAGTCGCCCACAACCTTTGGAATGCATGCTTCAAATGGTGGGGGATAAAATCAACTATGGCCAAAGATTGCTTGAAGGTATTCCATCAACACTCTTCCGTAATTAAAATGGCAGGGAAAAAAAAGGGCTGGAGCTGCATTTGGTTTGCTATTGTATGGACAATTTGGTTAGCTAGAAATGAGAGGATTTTTAGAGGAAAAGAGGTGGATGAGAACAGACTCCTTGAACTAGTCCAGCTAAAAGCCTTCAACTAAATAAAATGCAGATCGAAAAGCTGCCTCTTCTCACTATCAGATTGGTTCCAGAATCCATTAGCCTACTTAAAGAGCTGGTGCAGCAAGAAGAAGAGGTACGTACATTTGGGTAGGGAAGGAATGGCATGATTATCAACAAAAAGGAAGCAAAGGTCGATAATTTCTTTGAGCTAGTTCAAACTCCTTCTTTTTACTGGGCAAAGAACATTGCAGAAATGGATGCGTTTTCTCTATCAGCTTGGTGCGAGAATCCAAGCAATTGTTTAAAGTCCAAATTCAACTAGAAAGACAGAGTTTGAACTAGTATTCTCTGGGACAATATGATGTTTTGTTCTTTTTCAGCTGTCGGTAGGAATTTTGAAATCTGACATGCTGATTTTTGTATTTATTGGGTTGGAATACCCCCAGTATTCCAAAATTAATAAATATTTTGCTTTTCAAAAAAAAAAAAAAAAGATAAAAGACTAACTACCATTTAAAGAAAAATATGTAGGCAATTAAAGTGATTGTCAATGTTAATTGGACTAAGCATAGGAGGGTCAAGTGTAACAAATTTCTCCAATTGGGAAACACACGGTTCTTGAATGTTTGTTGCAATTTGACTCCATTAGGGTCGGCAGCTTCCGTTAAGTAAATTTCAGGAAAACTAGTACCTTGGTACAAATATGAATGGAACACAAAAACTCTATCCTAATAAGTTGCATACCCAAAACGTATCATAATCATGCTACACCTAAAATTCGGGTTAATTTCTTGTCATTTGTCAAGGGATGTGAATAAATTAGTTCACCGACAGATGGAAAGAAAAATCTGATGTCACCGAAAGGATAAAAGTGGGTGTGTTATGGTCCCACAATATTTTGTTAAAGTTACATAAGTTTTATATTTAGTTTTACATATATTTTATTAATTTGTTATTTTTCTTATATGGTTAATTATGATATTTAAAAATATTAATTTATAAATTGATTTCAACTTATTATATAATAAATATTGGTTGCTCCTAATAATCAAATAAAATAAAATCAGTTTATTTTAAAGGATAATGATTAGTGTATCTTTTAATTTAACAAACTTCATAATATATTCATTAAGAAATTATTATTTTTAAATTTGAATTAAATACGAGAAAACTTAAAATTACAAATTTTAATAACTAAATCGATAGGCATTAAAAGATATGCTAAATCAAAAGATATATTAACTATTTTTTATAGGCTTAATGCAATTTTTAGTCTATTAACTATCACCTTGATTTCATTTTAGTTTAGAAACTATGTTTTTTATTTCTAAGTGGTCTATTAACTTTCAAATTTATTTCAATTTCGTCTACTTGGTCAAAGATAACAGAAGACTTCCTATTCTGTTAGAAAACAGTTAGTCCTCTAACTACATTTTTTTTATCTTTTAGTCCTCAAATTTATATTTGTTATAAAAATAGCTTTTATACTTAAAATTATTATTTTTAGGCTTTGATACCAGATTTTTATACTTAAAATTTACTTCTAAGTGGTCTATTAACTTTCAGGCTCTAATATAAAATTAGAGAAATAGGAGAACCCGTATAAAAATCTAATATCAGAGCTTATAAATAATAATTTTAAGTAAAAAACTATTTTTATAACAAATATAAATTTAAGGACTAAAAGATAAAAAAAAATATAATCAAAGGATTAACTGCTCTCTAACAGAATATGAAGTTTTCCGTTATCTTTGACCAAGTAGATGAAATTGAAATGAATCTGAAAGTTAATAGACCACTTAGAAATAAAACATAGTTTCTAGACTAAAATGAAATCAAGGTGATAGTTAATAGACTAAAAATTAAATTAAACCATTTTTTATATTTTAAATTATATCATGTAGTCTTAATAAATTAATATGTGGTCATAATTACAATAGACAAAAGTATCATATTGGAAAGGTTAAATGCTCATTTTGGTCCCTCAACTTTAGTGGTTTGCACATTTTTGGTCCCTTGAGAATTTTTTGCACTTTTTTGATCCCTCAACTATA